ACCTCAAAAGCAGCAAGCATCAGATTTTCCTCAACTTCTGGAAATAAATACTGAGAGCACTCATCCTTTGTTAGTTTTTCTATCTTTGCTAGTGTTTACTGGACAGGAGACTGAAACAGTTCTTATGCAGTCCCATCAATCCCAAAACAAAAGTAGTCTCTTCAAGAAGAGAGGGGGGGTTCTAATTAATTTGCTCTCTCATATAGTCTTCATTGACTCCAGTGGCAGTCACCCAACCATGGAAAGACGGAAAGGGCCCACACCCCCTTTCCCTTCCATGCCAGCAAAGCCACCGGACCCACTGATCACAGCTCCCCACGACGGCACAGGAGAAGGGAGACATCAGAGCAGAGCAGGGAGAAGAAAAGCTGCTGGAGCACGGGGAGACAAAGGAAGCAGAGCAAGCAGGTGGATAAAAAGGTCAGAAGAAGAGTCCTGCTGGATCGGACCAGTGAGGGCCCAACTAGTCCAGAGCCCTGTCTTACACAGTGGCCAGCGACTTCCTCTGGAGGTCCAACAACAGGGCACAGAGGTCGAGGCCTTCCACTGATGGCTTACTGCCAGGTTTACTGCCTCTGAACATGGAGGTTCCCCTTTAGTCACCATGGCCAGTAGCCACCAATAGGCCTCTCTGCCCCATGAATCTATCTGAACCCTTTTTAAAGCCATCTGTGCCAGTGGCAATCACTGCATCCTCTGGCAGTGTGTTCCACATTTAATCACTCATTGTGTTAAAGCAGTATTTCTTTTTGAACATCCTGAATCTACTGCCCATTAACTTCAATGGATGCCCTCAACTTCTAGTATTTTGGGAGAAGGACAAAAAGTTGTCTTTTCACTCTTTCTACCCTGGGCATGTGGGGCCACAGTGGTTCAGAGGTTAAGACGCTGAGCTGCAGACTGGAAGGTCTGTAGCTCGGCCGTTCAAGACCCTACTGCCACATGACAGAGTGAGCTCCCATCTCTGGCCCCAGCTCCTGCCAACCTAGCAGTTCAAAAGCAAGAAACTGCAAGTAGATAAATAGGTACCACTTCGGTGGGAAGGTAACAGCGTTCTGTGCGCGTTGGTGTTTAGTCATGCCGGCCACATGACCACAGAAATGTCTTCGGACAGCGCTGGCTCTTGGGCTTGGAAATGGAGCACCGCCCCCTAGTGTCCGATTCCACTGTCTTTCGAGCAAGGGAAACCTGTACCTTTACCTTTTACCCTGTGCATAATTTGACAAAGTTGTCTCTTTTCTAAACTGAAAAATCCCTAACTCTCCAAACTTTCCTCATAGGGAAGGTGTTAATCATTTTGGTGTCCTTTCTGATGTCCTTTTTGAGATATGGTGGTCACAGAAGAAGGCATTAACAGACAAAGGATGTCCCTCTCCATTGCTGGCTGCTTAAGAAGAAGAAGAAGAAGAAGCTGCAAGGTAGTGCTTTTCCAGCAATGGCATTTTGGGGTGTGAAGGGAGACAAGCCAGCTGATGCAGCAGAAATGCTGCAACGGGGTGGGGGGAGAGCAGCAGTGGTCAAGGCAGACAGGTGTGTACGCACTGCTTCGCCTTGAGCTTTTGATTCTGGTTCTGTCAGACACCACAGCAGCTTCTCCAACATAGTGGTTGTTTCTCTCCCATCATCTCTTCTTCACAACGCCCATCCAGGGAAGTGGAGCCTGGCTGCAGTATTTCCCTTGATGGGACTGGAGAGCAGAAAGCCTTCACCTGTGGCCAGCCTGAAGGGGACTGATGGGGGGGGGGGGAGTCCCTCCTGGAATTCTTGCCAGTGCCAGCTGGGCCTGCAGCTGCCCCCTCAGTGCACGGGTTCATTTTATAGTTCAGTTTTTGTTGTTCCCTCTCAAGCAGAGAGGGAAGTGGAAGCAGCTAGTTATCTAAGTACAGACAAAGGAAAGAACAGATTTTCCACACAGAGTGGCTGATTTGCAGAACTCACTGGCACAGGACGAAGAGATGGGCCACCCTACCAGTTTAGCTGAATTTTAAAGAGGATCAGACAGATAAATGAGAAACAGGGGCTGACCCTGTCATAGGCTTAGGAAATTCCTGGAGATATGGGAAAGGTGCTAAAGAGAGAGCATAGTTTGGGGGCAGTGACATTTCCTGTAGAGGATCTGATCTCTGTAGTCTGGAGGTCAGTTGTAGTTCCAAGAGAATTCCAGGCCCCACCTGGAGGTTGGCAATCCTACTTTGTCATGTGCAATTTTTGAAGAACCTTGTCAGTAGAATAAAATGCTCACCTGCCCACCCACATCTATAAACAGAGTTCAGGCAAGGTCTCATTATCTTATGGTGGTGGGATTAGATTAGATTGCAACTGCCTGCTAGTAATTTTTACTTGCTACCGAGATTTTGCAGACACTGAGAATAATGGCCATTAACAGCATCAATCAAGGGATTAAGATAAGGTACAGTACTCTTCCTCTCACATCTTGTCATGATTTCATGTTCGCTCACTCTTCCTTGAGCATTCCAATTAGAATGGCAACAAGGAACCAATACAATTTTGACTTAAAAAAAAAGCTTTTAAATCTACACATAACCTCCTTGATGTCCTATAGGGCCCAATGGATTTAAGCTCCACAAACTCATGTCTATAGCACTGGAAGTGAGCAAGGCAGATACACTAAATTGCAGTCTGCACTGTGCACTACTTGCTTGCAACGTGCATAAGCAACCTGCAACCACCAATGCTGGGGACACTGCAATATTTGGGATGGCAGAGCAGGGCCTGTGTAACCCCGGGAGCAATGTCAACATGCAAGTTACTTTCGTATGTAAAAGAAAAACGGTTTCTTGTCTTCCTCCTTCAGTTTCATTGTGCAAAACAGGAAAACAATCCTCTCTTTTCCTGACTTCCACTGAAATAAATTCAAAGCAACAGTGAAAACATGTGCTGACAGATTCAGATTTAGTTAAAATTAACACCCTAATGAAATTTAAACATAATGGCATGAACCTTACTCTAAACTAGAAGACACTCCTCTAGCCTAAGGAGCTTTCCTCCAACAAAGCTTAAGTTGGAAGAAGGCATCTTAGGCTGGCAGATGGCTTCATACTTTGCTCAGTGGAATGGAAGGACACATGCTGACCTAAGGTAAAAGGTAAAGGTTTCCCTTGCTCAAACGTTAGTCAAATGCAACTCTAGGGGGTTGTGCTCATCTCCGTTTCCAAGCCAAAGAGCCAGCGCTGTCCGAAGACGTTTCCATGGTCATGTGGCGGGCATGACTAAACGCAGAGGCACACAGAATGCTGTTACCTTCCCATCGAAGTGGTACCTATTTATTTACTTGCAATTTCTTACTTTCGAACTGCTAGATTGGCAGGAGCTGGGGCCAGAGACAGGACCTCACTCCGTCAAGCGGCACTCGGGTCTTGAACTGCTAAACTACCGACCTTCCAGTCTGCAGCTTCAGCATCTTAACTTCTGATCCACAGCGGCCCTATGCTGACCTAAACATCCACATAATTAAAATCAGTATGGCTTAGAGCACACCAATCACCAGGAACTGATGTAGCTACAAAATTCAAGAGAATTTTTGAAGTATTTCACTTTATTTAAATAAGACCACACTATTCTAGTTTCATACTGATCATCACAATCCTGAAGGAGATACCATTTTGTGGCACCATTTCCTATTTAAGATAATGTATTTTTGGAAATGTATTTACCCTGCATTTCAGCCTGAGAAGAGATTCATTATTTACATATTTAAAAAGTCTATGTGAGAAATAGTAAGGGAATCAATCAAGTGCCAAAGTAACTTACCAAGGCTTATCCCTCGATACCTTTGAAGAAAAGACCATGTGCTGTTTGCTATTGGAGGTAAGTAGATTGTCTTTGGGTGTTTTGAATGGCTTTGAGTTGTTGTTGACAGGGTTATGGCCGCTGATACACGATTTCGGTTTCATCTGTATTAGTGATGCCCGGGAATTGCAGGGTGGAGACGCTGGAGACAGGGAAGATTTACACATTGAACCGTGTCGTCGTTCTATAGCAGGGGGGAAAAGGTACCAAAAAAAGACACTAAATAGACAAAATAAAGGCACCTAGATAAGAGGGGGGGGGGGAACAGGAAGAAACCCCAGCAATATAGAAAGCAGATTTAAAACCACTCTATGCTGCACTGATTTGCTGTAAATATATAATAGAGATAACATATCGAAAGACACTTAGAATACAGTGCAGAAAAGTCAGCTGGTATAAGGACCCCTTTGGAGCATCACTGCACTGTGATAGGGCAGTGCCTGGAGAAGCAATGCTAACTGCTACTCAGCTGGTATAGAAACCCAGTTCTGGGGCATGTATAAGGCAGTCTGTTGTGTTCTAGTGCTCCCATCAGGACCCTGAGCCTGCTGGCTTGCAGAACCAGGCTCTCAGGTATGTTTGGCCAAGTATGGATTGCCAGAAGAATCCTCCATATATCCAGAACATGTAAACCCTCCTCCTCAGCATTCAGCTCAGTTTACAGAGTACCTCAGGTGTTTTTTTAACACACAAATACTTGAGAGAGAAGCTAATTTTTTTTGCCCAACATATAACTGTTCTCTATCAGGTCTCGTTTGAAGAACTGTATTTAACAATCCTAATACTGGTAGACTGCAACAGGTAAGTTTAATGCCACATAAAGATGGAAGAAGTGATTCACGTAAAAACAACGAGAAGCTTTGGAAGTGCTGCAGAAATGGCTGCTGGGAGCTACAGCCTATGACTGTGTACAGCCCAGGTTATGACGAAGGTTTCTCCACACTATCCCTATACATGGAAAAGAAATCAAGCTGCTGCCTCACACACACAAACCAGCTTTAAGAGGGTGTGACTTGAGCTCAAGCACAATCATTGATTCTAAACCTTGTGCCCCTATTTCCGATCTCTAGTAATACATACAACCAAATGGACTATGATCCTAAATTGCACTGAACTTCCATCTTCCACCTTCTTACTTGCTTGTGATTCAGCTTTCTGTTAAAAATTCTCACTGGGGATGCCAATGACCACATATGACCACATATGACCACATTAGACCAAGTCAAGGGGAATCAAGACAGAAAACAACTCGCATAATACAAAATTGATTGTGTCTAGTTTTCATTAATTCAACAAAGTCTCCAGATTATCTTAGTTATGGATATCTTCTTCCAGAACATCATAATATTGTAAAAGATATTGTAAAGAATATTGTAAAGAATCTGAGTTCTTTAGTCAGCTTCTACATTCATTCCAAATTGTTGCAAAGTACTGGAAGAATGTTATAAAGTTTCACAAAGCGGGCCACCAGTAACTCATTGTACAGGGAACTACTCTCTATAGTGCTAATCTGGTGTTGCCTCTCTTTAACTTTTAACCCCCACACACTTCCTACCGCAGAGATTCTCTGGGAGAATCTGCTGGCCTTATTGTGCTATTTTCTCATTGCAAACAATGGTGGAATGGGGGCATCTCCTTTGGCACTTTCTGGACACTGATATGTTGGCACTGGGTTGTGTTGATGGGCACTGTTGCACTGCTTCTGCTGTCCTTGCAACCCCCCCTCCCTCTTACTTGGTCTGTGATTCTCTGGCTGTGCTTGACATCAGACCTGTGCACCTGGCCTTTGCCATAACGGCACAGGGTGCTGCCGCTGGGTACTAGTAGGTTGGCACTGGTTGGGTTCTGCTGCTGGCCACTAACAGTGTACTGTTTCTGCTGTCCTTGCAGAAATGCCACCCCTCAGTTTGTACTTCAGAGATTCTCACATTTGATCTTAGTCCTGTTGGTTTCTTGGCAGTGCCACAGTGGCACTGGTACTGGAGGATACACTACACGTTCTGCTGCTGACCTAGCAAATACCCCCCAAACTTCACTTTCTACTGCTGAGATTCTCTGGAGAATCTCTTCTCTGCTGTGTTTGTGCTATTTTCCCCACCACTGGAAAAGAATTGGACCCCCAGTACAATCTTTTTAAGATTTGGGGGTTCTTTTGGGAAGAGGCTCCAGCAGCTATACTGCAAATTTGGTGCCTCTACCTCAAACCCCCTCCCACCCTTGGCCCCTGAATATAGCCTAGGAGAGATTTGCCATTGACTACAATGGTCCCATAGGGTATAATGGAGCCGAATAGATTTAGGAATCCCAAATCTATTCGAGATTCCCTATTTGGTTGCTGAATGCACATCGGAGAATCACATTCAGCTCAAATAATGCCTATAAGTCCTTATTCAGGTATATATTTGGCTCAGCTTCTGCCGAATGCACACCCCTAGTCAATCTTTTAAAATGACTGCATTATTTCAATCAATACATATAACTCACAAAAAGTAAAATTAATTTGACTTTTTTGTATTTTCTAATTGTGCAGCAGAATTACAGTGAGGCCCTCCAAAGTCAATTTCTTTCCAGCCAATACAAATGGATCAAGGGCAAGGATGCTCTCAAATGCCAAGATTAAGGTCCACCACTTTAACCATGCATTCGCCCTAGTTTGTGAGCACAGACATATCAAATGCTGAAACTAATCTCACCACTGAGATAAAACGTGCTGTATCCTCTCATGCAGGAGAACACCAATTCCCAGTTATAAGACTGCATTCACTATAATTAAAACAATGGAATCTGGCATCATGTTAGCAGTTTGTAAAATCAGTAACATGAAGTTTTAAGAGAGCTGTAGGAAAGATGGATGTTAACGTGAACTGTCAGTTCTTACTAGAGTGCTTCAAAGGCAAGAGAAATATCACCAGATGAACTAAGTAAAAGAGGAAGGCCCAAAGAAAACTAACTTTAGACATCCAAGGCTGTCAACCTGAACCATGCCTTGGAGGATTAAATATTTCTGGATACTTCTCAGATCAAGAAGGGAATACCTGAGATTAAATAATCAATGCTACATTGCTCCGAGCACATAAATTTCTATTTAGACAGGCGATGTTTTTGTCATTCCTCTTTATTTGAGCAACTGCCTCATCTTGCACTATTTAGCCTGTCAGTTTAAAATCACCTTCACAAGAACTATTCTCCATCTTCCCACCCTCATATGAGACACAGGTGGAAAAACCAGAGACAAGAGCCTTTTCTGTTGAGGCACCACACCTTTGGAACAGACTCCTCCCCTGCAGACTTTTAACTGAGGGACCCAATCTCTTCTACCTTTTTATGGTCCGTTTCTAGCCTAAGATTACTTCATGGATATAATTTTATTTATTTTTCGTACTTATATCCCGCCAATCCCGTGAATGAGCTCGGGGCAGGTCACACCATATTTCAATAATTACAATAAAATTTAAAAACACAATTTAAAAACATAATATAAACATTTAAATCAATGGCTACAACTTACTGGTGAAAATTCCAGCCCATTAGTACAGATGGATATGGCCGGTTACCGATGGATGGATGACCGGTAAGTGGCTGACAGCAAGCTCATGGGGGCCATGTGTGGACGCCCATTGCCTCAACCAATTGCCTGGCAGAATAGCTCTGTCTTGCAGGCCCTATGGAACTGAATAAGATGCTGCAGGGCCCTGATCTCAATGGGGAGAATGTTCCACCAGGTGGGGGCCAGGACAGAAAAAGCCCTGGCCCTGGTCGAGGCTACATGGACGTCCTTTGGGCCAGGGACCACCAGGAGATGTTGATTATTAGAGCATAAAGCTCTTTAAGGCGTACACAGGAAGAGGCGGTCCCTTAGGTATGTTGATCCCAGGCCGTATAAGGTTTTGAAGTTTATTTCAAACATAAGAACATAAGAGAAGCCAATGTCTCGACATTTTCAGTGAGTTATCTACTACAACTCCAAGATCTCTCTCTTGATCTGTCTCTGCCAGTTCAGACCCCATCAATGTGTATTTATATTTAGGATTTTTGGCTCCAATGTGCATCACCTTGCACTTGGCCACATTGAACCCCATTTGCCATGTTGACGCCCACTCGCCCATCCTTGACAGATCCCTTTGGAGTGCCTCACAATCCTCCCTGGTTCTCACCACCCTGAACATCTTCGTGTCTTCTGCAAATTTAGCCACTTCACTGCTTACTCCCAACTCCAAATCATTAATGAACAAGTTAAAAAGCATCGGACCAAATACTGATCCCTGCGGTACCCCACTGCTTACTGCCCTCCACTGAGAAAGTTGCCCATTTATACTCACTCTTCCTATTAATTAGCCAGTTTTTGATCCACAAAAGGACTTGTCCTATTATCCTGTGGGTACTGAGCTTACTCAGGAGCCTTTGATGAGGAACTTTATCAAAAGCTTTCTGGAATTCAAGGTAAACAACACCTATTGGGTCCCCCTTGTCCACATGTTTGTTCACTCCCTTAAAGAACACTAACAAGTTAGTGAGATAAGATCTTCCCTTACAGAACCCATGTTGAGTCTGCCTCAATAGTTTTTGTTCATCAATGTGCCTACTAATTCTTTCCTTAATAACAGTTTCCACCAACTTACCCAGTATTGATATCAGTCTGACTGGCCTGTAATTTCCCAGATCTCCTCTGGAACACCTTGAAACGGATCCGGTACTCAACTGGTAACCAGTGCAGCTTGCAAAGCACATGCTGAACATGAGCCCGCACAGGTGTCAATGTCAGCAGGTGCGCCACTGCATTTTGCACCAGTTGTAATTTCCGGATCAGCTTCAGGGGTAGGCCTGTGTAGAGCGAGTTGCAGTAGTCAAGCCAAGAAGTGACCATTGCATGGATCACCGTAGCTAGGTCTTGGGGGGAGAAATAGGGCTTCAGTAACCTGATCTGCCAAAGATGGAAAAATGCAGATCTAGCGAATGTGGCAACCTGGGCCTCCATGGACAGAGAGGCATCCAGTGTTACTCCCAGGTGCCCACATCCGTACCCTGTCAACCCAGGTACAGGACCTCCGTCCTCAATGGATTTAACTTCAATCGACTCCACCGCAACCATCCAGCCACAGCTTCCAGCACCTTAGCTAGCTTTCCAGGAACAGAAGACAGATGGCCATTCATAACAGATAGAGCTGGGTATCGTCAGCATACTGA